TTATTAACTTATAATACTATTATACTTATGTAAAATGGTCACTARTTATTAATTTCGCTCTATTAAACACATTATATTATTATGATTAAAAAAAGCAAAAGTTGTAAGTATAATTTTTTAGATTTATTTTGAAACATCACTTGCCATCACTGGGTGATTTATAACTCATAAATGGTCGTAGAATCCGGAAAAAAAACAAATTATTCATATTTTGTCGTGGGTTGATGCATAAATTATTAGAAAAACATAGTGTTATATATTAGATGGTTATAAATGTGTACATTCGGAATTACTTATTATTTTGTTTACGATCTATATTTGTGAACACATTTGTTTTTYTATTGTTTAATAAGTATGACGTAACTATAGTGGTTTTACATTACTTTACGAAGTGACTGTCAAAACAAAARTAATATGGTTTTAATGATTATCAAAAAAATATAGAAGCATGTTTATTGTATTATCAAAATACATATAAGTAATACATACGCTTACCATATTTAAATCTTTAACACATTTTTGGGATCTTAAAAATATTACAATAAATAATTAACTTTTCTTCTAACTATATATTAACAGGGTTCCCAGCAGAACCCATATTTTAGTCCTTTAAGGACGTGCTTAATACTCATTGACAACATTAAATTTTGAACTGTAATAGATAATTATTATACCTATGCCAAATAACAGGGCGTCGCCTGAGTGCGTAAACCAACTAGTATTCAAGACAAACACAGTTCATTAAATTAATTAGAAATTAAAACATTTGATAATGAAACATTTCTTCTAGTGAATGAGAGCAATAAAAACTTTATTTATAAGTATAATTAAATAACCAAATATTTTTGGGGTATAAGCCAGTTCACTTCCTCGTGGTGCACTCTGGGTAACTCTAAACCAGTGATTCCCAACGTGGGCGCTACCACCCCCTTGTGGACATTTTTTATTTTGAAGGGGACGTTTTTATGAGGGGGGTGCTAAAGGGGGCGCTCATCTATCATTAAAATTTTTTTTGTTTATAACTGATTGTAATGAAATRTATAACTGCATTCGGAACATTAAATAAGGGACATTTTGGGACGCACTCGGGAGTTGTCTCGAATAACATTCTAGTTGTGACCAGAGCCAGTTTAAGTATCTACTTAACCAAGAGTAGTGGTGTAGCAGTATGTATTTTATATAATTATAATAATTATTACAAAAGGCTATTCAAATGTTTTTTTCGTTACAAAACTTCATAGCCTACACATTATAATATACAGAAGGTCTTGTTCACCATCATAATCAGTATATCCTATGTGAATAAATAAATAATATAAATCTTAAGTTTTCAAATAAATCTATAAAACAAATKTAATAAGTTATGACATTTAATTAGAATATATTRTAATACACATTATATTACAGTAGAATATAAAGTTCATTAAATTGTTCTTATATTAACTTTGGTTGCAAAAATTGTGTGTTTTAATTTCGGTGTTTTACGAACATAGATGGAAAAAAATTTTACATTTCGGAGGTCATTGGTTCGAAGTAGAACATTGAAAGATTTGACTTCCACGTTCTTAGAACCAAATTTTCAGAARCGCACAAAAATAAAGACGGCTTTGCAACATCCCTGGATCAAAGAAGGCAATATCAAAATACCCACAGATGTGATCGTAGCAAACGAATCAATTACAACTAGTTTGAGTCAACCAATAGTCACTGAGACTTCATTGAAGGTACCTGCATTTCATTATCAATTGTCAGAATACGGAAAACCGATTAGTGCTGATAACATTTTGTTCACGGCAGTAGCAGCGGAAAGCGGAGTTATTAAACCTAAATCTAAACATAAACTATTGAAACTGAAGAAATAATTAGGTATAAATGTATTTTGAGTGGAAAAAATTTGAGAAGTACACCAACCAACCAAAATTTAAAAAAATTATGATTTTCTATATTGATTAATGGCGGTAGATAAACCATAGCTATAGGGGTTGATTGCAAGATGTTAAATAGTTCTAATTGAGCAATAAATAATGGTATTATAACAGAAATTAGTGCTAACTTTTTTTCGCTAACTTCACGCACCTTGAGAACCCTTAAAAATTTAAAAAAAAATTATGGTTTTTTATGGTGCTGATATATGGCGTAAGAAAAAGGTTAGTGTAAAATATTTAAAAATGAAGTTAAATTAAATGTAGGTAAATAATAACTACYATGTAAGTATATTACATATAAGTTATGTTTTATATATTAGTTATTAAATACATTTAATTGCTTTAACATTTCACCCAACCTTTATTATTAATAAACTTAAATAATTTAATTTTTAGATATTTTACAATAAAAATAGTAAGTAGTGACAGTTATGTATTTAAAGAAAATGAAATCAATTAGTTAAAATGAGATGAAATCGACATTTTATTATATTATTAGAAGTAAAAACATACTCAATGTAAAATCTTACAATTCCTAAAATCAATTTTTTTTCT